AAAGCCCCTAGTTTATGCTAACACTCCCAATCCAAAGATAATTAAACATTACGATGCATTAAAGAGGTGGCATAAAAAGACCCGTGTCGAAAAAATTTTAAATTATTTTTTAAGCGCTTGAAGCTTGTCTGAGCAAAAGAACGTTCAACCCTTGGCCATATCTGTTATGCTCATCCAGGATACTGTACGCTCCCAAAGATTTCGTCTAACGCCACATAAAATTGCTAGTACTAGCTGTAAAACGAGAGTTTGGGTTGTAATAAGGTAATAACGTTGTTATTTCACAAGTGTAACCTTTCTTTTTACTCTAAGCATATGATACTGTAGTAATTTTGTATATCTGAGTAATCTCTTAATTACGTATTGACGATTGAGTTATATCGTTGTATAATTTTTGATTTAGCTATGTATATTGGTTTATTAGTTGGTTGTTATATTATTGTTTTTTTTTATGGAAGGTAAACAAAACAGTATATTATTTGAAAAACTCAAGCCGCAAGTAAGTATAATTGTGCCCTGATGTAAATGGTTGGAGGATTGTTAATCCTGTTGTAATGATGTAATAAAATTAATAACTACCGAAACGCGAAGAGGCGAGACGGCAAGAAATTAATTAATAATAAAAAAAAACAAAAGAAATAAAACAAATCATAAATTGTATTTTCATTTTTGTTTTACTTCACAGCTATGAAATCTCAGTACCCACATAACTAAGGCCTCACACGTGAAAGCAAGGGATCTCAAAAATATTCATCATCAGAATCAATGAGCCACATTTATCATCGAAACCATCTTATTTACTTCAGTGTAGACATTGTATTTGAAAGCCTTGTCATACTAAGAATTATAGTAATTACAGAGCATAAACAGTTCCATCACCTTTATTCACATTATATAAAATAGCATAAGCGAGTCTATGCACAGAATTTTTAAAAAAATATTTATATATAGTTGTATAGTAGAAATAAGTCATATCAAAGCAAACAAGAGATGTCAAAAGGGGATTTAATGAATTATTTACAGATACAAACACAAGTCGAATTTTCATGTCAGTATATCACTATAATTTTCAGATATTGTTAAACGAATTGTCTTTCCGAGCTTTTAGGAGTTCCATTTCATGGTTTTATTCGAGTAAAATGAAAATAATACGCAATATTTTTACGTTCTTTTTATTCGCAATTTAAGATTAGTATCTATAAGATTATTCTATAAAGAAGCTTATATTATTTTGGTCTCCTACGAGTAATACCACTTTTTGATAATTGCTTGTTTGCATTCCGTATTCACGATCGAGTATTTTGCATAAATTATGCATAACATTGATAAGACAGGATGTTGTAATTCAGTGGATTTTATGGCACTGTAGAATGAATAAATACGTAGACTGGGAACCGAATCCGCTTCTTCACGAGTTATAACAACCCTTCGACATTGAGCCATTCTTTCGCACTTCTAACGCGTCTCTTATAACAACACATTTTATATTAATTAAACTTTAAAGCAAAATCACGTTTACCAAAATTCAATGTCAGTTCCGTTTTACTGGCAGGAATCACGAAAGTCTTTTTCCTCTGTACTATTACTATTTAGCTCTCAACAGTCGTTAAAGTATTTTATACGCTCTCCAATAATATAAATTTAATCTTTATAGTTCGATCTACAGGACGTAGTTTCTAAAATAAACGTTAGATAACGCTGTCGGCAAGCAGGGATGTCCAGCGCCATCAACTTCTCGAGCAAAGGCATTTTCGATGCGAAATTTTGTTTCCAAGAGTGTACATAACGTCTTTGGTTGAAGTGCTCCGCGAATGATGAGTTCGAGGAAGAGGAAACTCTTGACATTGCAAAAACGTGTGGATGTGTTGGTGCAAAGGAAGACTGTCCCCGCAATTTTTGAAAAAATTGGAATAAAGGAGACATATGTATACGATTTTTCAAGAGAAATAATCTATTATGAACAAATGGAAGCTCTTCACTCTCCAATCGAAGGGCTGCTAAAAATGTGAAAGAAAACGTTAACAAACTCACGTGGGAATGGTTCGTCGCAACGCGGGCAAAGAACGTGCCGATTTTAGGTTTGAATGACTATGAAATCGTTCGTTTAGGCAAGAGTGATTTTAAGGTTTCAAGCGGATGTTGTGATTGTTCAAGAAGAAGCATCAAGTACTTTGCAAGGATACGCGGAGAACCAAAGAACAGCGATGCAGTCAGTTAGTGGCTGCAAAGAATTCCTGATTTCAATCTGAGAACAACGAGATGGACATTTTTAACTGCGAAGAAATCATGTTTTTTTAGAATGGTTCCCACAAAAGATCTTTACTGCAAAGTAAAATGCGTATATCGGTGGAAAATTAAGTAAAGAACGCCTGACTGTAATCCATTCCTGCCACACAAAAGGGCAATTTGAACGATCATTGGTCATTGAAAAGTAGCAGAAACCATGTTACTTCAAAAATTTAAATATCCGTGACCTTGCAATTCAGTGGAAAGCTACGAAGAAAGAAAGCATGGATGACAGCGGTTATTATGGAAGAATGGCTACTGGGGTTTGGTGCACAAATGCTATACCAAAGTAGAAAAGTTCTGTTATTTCTCGACAAAGCAACTTGCCATCTGCATGTTTCTTTGCAAAATTTTAAGTTGTGTTCTGAGAATACCACCCAGTTATGTTCTTGGGGATGATAAATAATTCATTCAGAAAAGTTAAAGTATAAAACGTTTATTGTATTCACAATACGTAATAGGTAAGAACGCGCGACAACTTATTAACGGTCACTCGGGAACACGTCGGGGAAAACGTTCGTCCGCTTCGTTTGACGGCGAGAGACTGAGGCACACTTGCAGCAAGAGAATGGCAGACTGCGCCAGTACGTCGATTGCTCACAACTGTTGAGCGCCAAATCACCAACAGCAAAAGAGGAATAAATTTAGGGTGCATATACAACGCACCCCTTTGACTCGCCCTCATCGACCAATTGGCTTCATTTATGCCTTAAATTACAATACAGATCTTTGCTTGTGCAATTCTTACTTGCCCACACAGGCTTCAGATATCAAAACGCATGCAAAGAATTGCTCAAGTCGATGGCCATGATGAATAGCTTCTGTAAAGTAGCTACAGGATGGAAGTAGTGTAGAAGAGAGCGTTGCTGAGACCAGCGTTTTTCAAGATGAAGAAGAATTTGTCAGTTGTGGTGAGCAAGTGTCACGGAGGATGAACATTGTAGGAATGGGCAGTTTTGTTCTGGAAGACAAAATTTATTGTCCAGGGAAGACGACAGTTCGGGAGAAGAGGAGGAAGAAGAAGCAGCGATGAAATCAGAAAATCCCATCAAAACATATCGTTATGCACATAACGAACTTGAAAGATTTTTTGCCTCACTGAATAACATTGAAATATTAAATACACTGAATGCAGTTTGTGTTGATGTTAATAACACACTAGTGTACTGTGAGTACCACAGGAAATTCATAAAATTAAGTTACAGCTAGGATCAGACGAAGTTAGAAATTTGGGACTCCTTTCGGGGCACCGCGCAGCGCTCGGCAATACTCCCCTCACTTATTGGTTGCGAAACCAAAGGTCCCATATTAACGCGTGTTGAAGCGCAGTGGCAAAGAGTAACTGCAGTAATAGAGGCAAGAGTAACTGCAGTGATAGAGGCAAGAGCCAAGAGCGTGGTATGTGGCGTCATATCAGTCGCCTTGTACAAACGTACCAAATATCAACCTCGTGCATTTCATGGACAGCGCTGGCGGAAGAGACGCTGGGCTGAACAAAGGCTAGGGAGCGGAAGGGAAGGGGTGCCATGTCGTGGGTGGCAAACTTGGGAACCCCATAGGCGGCGGAAACAGCGAGATGACGCAGTTCCGTCAGCCGGCCCAGAAGGTATATAAACGGACCCCAGACCTAAACTCTTTCTTCTGATTCTTGGGCGCGTCGGTAGGAAGTCGTGTGGGTTGTGCGCGGCGCTGCATTTTAATGCATAGGCTACCGAGGCAGAGAACTGAAGCCGGCGTGCTACGTCGAGACGGGAGGTGCGGCATACTCTCTTGTAAGCTCACGTAGGCTACTGGTGCATCACACTGAATATATTTAATTATCAGCCCAGCGGTGGTGGTAACCAGGGAACTTCTAGTAACGGGTCAATATTGTTATTTGTTAATATTGTACATAGTATTCAGGTGTTGGAGCATTTTTATTCAAATATATACTTAATATTTACAAACCGTTCGCGTCTGTGATTTATTGCCCCGGCAAAGACGCCACAGGTGCAATGTCTGGGAGGGCACCAGACGCCGGAGAGAGCGCGTGTTTTTTTTGCACTCTTTGGTTTGAAAATGATTTCACATACATCGATATAGCTTCAACGTTTTTAATATTGAGTGTCATTAAAACGAGAGTGTATATTTCTAACATACATGTTATAAACTATTTTTCGATGGATTTTCTGGGGATTGTTCAACCGTGCAACCTTAGTACGAACCGCCACTGATGGAAGAGAGAAAACAACAATGTACGTATTACTCTTATGGTTTTCCCCCAAACAAATATCTTATTAAGCCCTATAATTTTAGTCCTACTACAGAACCAAAATTGACCGTTCTGGAGCGGAGGGAATGGACATAGCCGACGAAACGGAAGAAGCGGGAGGAGCGTGATTGGCGAGAGAAACAGAGCGGAAGGGTCTAAAGTGGCTACATGTGAAGCCCTTTTTCAGTACCTCATGTAAATGTGCCGCTTCTCATCTTTGCCTCTCAGATAACATACTCGTTTATATATAATGCAAGGCATGTTTCCTATACCTGTACTTTATGCCAATATTTTACTTTGTATCTTACAACAGGTTTCGTTCATAAAGGATTATTATTGCTACAAAATATTATTGTTGAGATGAATTTATATTTGCTTATAACTCAGTAATAGAAGTTTTTGTCTCGAAGGAAGTAATAATGCAAACATATAATTAATCGAGTGTTTAATATAATATTCATACCTTGGATGTTTCATAGTCAATGCAGTAAGACAGAATATTCGCCAAAGCACAAGAATCCAAAGACTTTTGTCCTGAAAAAGAAAGTATTCGTTATCATTATACAAGCTACGAGTATATAAATGCTCTATTTGTACATCAAATATTACGTAGTAGCAAAATGCCCGGAGTAGCCCGGGCTTTTTTCATATCCAACCCTCATGAAAGAGAAATATCAATATCAGTGGTCTGCAAACTTATGGAGTATCTAGTTGCCAGTTACATTAAGCAAGAACGGGAAATCAAAAAATTGCCCTATGATGACCAACACGACTTCAGGAGTGGTTATTATTGTGAAAGTTATTCATGTGAATAGCCACGCTATTTCAGGATCTAGCAAATGAAATTGACGCGGGCGGGAGAGTAGACGCAATAGTTATAGATTTTACCAAAGCGTTTGATGTCGTTCACCACGATCGGCTCGTACAGAAATTAATGAATTCAGGCTTAGATTTCAGGGCGGTGTAGCGTGGATTAGCGAGTTTCTACGAGACAGAAAACAGAAAGTCCGAATTGGCCATGAGTTTTCTACCGGGGCAAGCGTTACATCAGAAATACTGCAGGGGAGTGTCATTGGACCTCTTCTATTTCTAGCGTTCGTCAATGCCAGCGCAATTAATATCAAATGTTCGGCTATTGCAGACGATTGCATAATATATCGTAGTGTGAATTCGAAAGAAGACGAATAAATGTTGCAACGGGATCTTGATGCGTTACATTGCTGGGCGGAAAATAATAAAATGACAATAAATAGCTCCAAAAGCAAATCCATCACTTTTGGCAGGGGGCATAATTACAGAGAAACGAATTACCGTTTAAATAAAGACAATATTCCGATAGTGTCCTCGTGCAAGTACCTAGGAATCCATTTCGATAGTAAATTAAGCTGGAAAAGTCACGTAGATTTTGTTGTAGTGAAAGCCTGGAGATCTCTCCACTTTGTAATGCGCACCTTAAAAAAGAGTACGGCAAACGCGAAGGAAATTGCATATTTATCGCTTGATGGCCGATAATGGAATATAGAACGATTTGTTGGGATACGCACAAAATTTTGCAGTTTACAAATTTGGAAAGCATTCAGCGTAGCGCAGCTAATTTTACTTTCAGGGACAAGAAATTGGCAAAATTGGGTTCTCTCGAAAATAGGCTATCAGTAGCAAGGCTATGCGCTTTGTATAAAGCTTATAGCGGTCAACCAGCTTGAAAGAAATTAATCGGTGGCTAAGTATTCCTACATACATCAGTAGGGGAGATCACAGGCACAAAATAAATTTAAGACCGCAGAGAACAGATGTGGGGAAATTTTCGTTTACAAATCGAACAATAAAAGAATGAAATACATTGCCTGCAAAAACCTTTGAACCCTTTCCTCGTAGCGTACAACAATTTAGGAAATTTATTTTGGATATTACTATATAAATGAGGGAATTAGCTGACAATTGTAGGTTATAGAGCGATGCGTCAGTAATATATAGGGAAGTGAGGTGTCGTGAAGTGTAGAACAGAGAAATAAAGTAAGAAATGATTAAAGGGTCAGAGTGAAAAGTGAAGTAAGTGAAGTGAAGTATAGAGAAGTGCAGTTGAACAAAGGTTCAATGCGGAGTTTGATTATGTTTCTTTTTTTTTAGGATATTTAAAAAAAATGAGTTTTATATCATAATTATTTTTATTATTAATGTAATTTTTATTTTCATTATTATTTAATTATTATATTATTATATAATTTGCATATTAGCCATAGTATTTTATTTATGTAATTAGCTGCCACCAGGTTATGCCTATTTTCAGTTCAAATAAATGTATCTTATCTTCATCTAATTTACACATTTCCTTCCTTACGCAGTACCACACGCCTTCTAACGTGTGTAAAGTGGCTGGAAGCATTCCTGGACGCCATTTTGTAATACTAGTTGTAAGGCTCCCGTCGCATTTGTTGTAACTTAATCAGTGATCACGAAGCTTCGCCCCTTCAGAAGAATATGCAGCCGTGGTAAGAGAAAAACGTTTGCTGGTGACAGATCTGGGAAGTATGGATGATGCTCCAATAGAGTAAGGTTGGGCCTGGCAAGGTAATTTTTTACCAATACTGATCGATATGACCGTGTGTTATTGTGCAAAGGAAACCAGGAGTTTTGTGCTTACTGCTGCATTTTTCCGGGCGTTTTCTTCTTACTGCGTTCCTGAGGCGTCGAAGGATTTCCACATACAGTTCATTTGTTTCAGTACGACCTTCTGGAATACGTAAAATCATAGTGGATGAGACCCTGGGCGTCAAAGTAAACTTCCGGCATAACTTAGCCTCTCCTTGTGTTCTTTTGAAAATTTGTTTCTTAAAAGATGTTTTGGATTTTCACTCACATGACTGTCATTCAGTTTCATTTCAAGCAATTATGTTGTTCAAAAATTATTATTTTGATCAGCAATATCAGATCGGAAGCAAGAATCATTCTGGTTTCTTCGTTTTCAGAAGACAACATTTATGGAAGCAACTATCGTGATACGTAATGTATGTTCAAATGTTTGTGAAGAATTATGTGAACACTTCCAACTGATATTCTGACCTCTGGTGATATCTCCTCAACAATTCTGTCATTCCCCACAACAACGCATACTTGCTCAATGGTTGCTTGATTTGTCGAAATTGTTCGTCGGCCGCTCCGCGGGTCATCATACACGCTGTCGCGTCCTTCACTGACACGTTTTCCCCGGAGATGTGCCTCCTGTTTTTCATTGATGCATCTGCATACGCTTCTTCGAACATTCTAATGCCTCTGACGGAGATTTGTGTAGTAAAACACAAAACTTTATGTTAGAACGTTGCTCTGTAGCCGCCATTATCAAATAAGAGGAGCAAACACACATGAACAATAAAAACAGGTTGTTATGCAAACCAAAAATCGTTACGAACATGGAAATTCCGCTTAAGTGATGTCGTGAACGTCACCAACAAATAATAAAGAAAAATTGGCTACTGAATTAATATTAAATGAATAATTTCCGGATTCCTGGAACTTTTTGAAGATAGTACTATTACTCCCCATACGTATACGAGAAATTAACTAGTGGAGCTACAGAATGGCACAGACTTTCTCGTACTAGTTAGTTTTCTAATTTCTTTGGTCTGAGGACTGGACTGATTTTTGGTCTTGCCTCATCCTCTTGCCAGCTGCCATCTATCGTCACCCAACGTACAAAAAAAATTCCCAATTTTTCGGTTTCCAAATAGATTGTCCATATATTACTTTAAGAAAATTAAAAAAGGGTCAAACCTCGTCTTGTAAGGAAATATTCTTTGAAAAATTTGAAGCCTTTTTGTGAAAATGTCGTTTAAGTATCATTGTAAATACGAAATTTAAAACCATTGAGTTTTCTAAAATACTTCATCAGAAGTCATTTGAAGCACTTTAACTCACAAATGCAATTGTGTTTACAAATCGCTGGAAATATGCAAATTAACGGCGTGAGAAATATTATAGCAGTGTGGTGTCAGCTCCTAGAATACATTTAGCACTAAAAGTTAATAGAAAAAAATTTTGGTAGCGTTTTTTTGAAAATTGTGTTTTTTTAATTTTTCTACATGGCACACATTGCACGCAATAGTGCCCGAAAACTACTAAAATGTTTAAAAAATGTACATGACCGTATTGAGAAAACTAAACATGGAGAACAAATTTCAGTTGAAAAATAAATTTCTATCTTTAATTTTTGTAGTTGTAGGAAGACGCCGAAACAAATCAACCTTTTCCAATTATTGAAAATTCAGTTATCAGTAAAAATCGGATTCATGCCCCCTTTATAAATGTATTTCACTCTATTCTTACTATAAAATTAAAGAAAAATGCAGACATTTTTGAGAACATTTTGAAAATGTCCCAGGGACTAAATGTAAAGTAGCTCCGAAAATTAATGAATATTTTTCGCAAATCGCAAAGGTATGATTCGAACTACATCTATTGGGGAATATGTATTTTGGAAAAATCCCAATGGTTTAGACGCTAGTGGTGAACATATGGACGGTCGGAGGTTTTGAGAAAAACACGTTTTCTTTATCAAGGACCCACAGTTTCTTAAATAAATCTAAATAACGTATTAGAGGGGGTAATTTTCTATATATTAGAACAGGTTTTATGTACTTTTTGTGTATCAGGGTCCCACAACACGAGTTTTTGTGTCGAAAAATCTCCGATTATTGCGGCAGCATTACATAACTTTTTCTATACTTCGTGTATTATTCCATGTATACGAACATATACGAGAAAGTTAAAATGTACTTTAGACTGCGATGGAAAACAGCTTGCAGACCCAGAACAAAGAAATTAGAAACTGACTAGTACGAGAACGTCTGTGTCATTCTGTAGCTTCATTAATTTTGTTTTGGAAACATAAATAAAGCGTTGTATAAATAATTTAATGAGCAATATTATAAAAGTAATATTATAAAAGTAATATTATAAAAGTAATAATATAAAAGTAATATTTCTGCACATTTAGAGGACTGTCTACATTAGCATGTGCGTTCGTACTAGGAAGCTGGAAAGATCGCCGCGTTATTGAGCTGCCTTTTACGTAACTTACCGTAGGTTGTTTCGATCTTCTTCAGCTTACATAAGCAATCTTTCACAGCATGATGCACAGCGTGTTTGAATCTGCCGTCACTGCTCACAGTCAGAAAAGTTAGTTCGTGTAAATTCTTGGAAATCACTTGACCTTCAGGGGAGAACTAAAAGGCATAGAAACATTGTTATTGTCATCAAACTCCACTCATTATAAACGTATTTCACGAACCTGTACTCACCACTCCCTGTTTCTCGTAAACACAACGGGCTTCGCACTGCAAATAAAACATAAGAGTGAGCGAGTATTGCCGAGTAACCTAACATGCACAAATATTCCATGATTTTTCGTGTATAGGTATTGTTAGACGTTTATTTACAAATTTAGTAATCATAATCATTATTACACGATACAAAATGCATTAGACCCTTCAGCTAACTTAACAAAATAAAAAGGACATTATCCAGGATATATCTTCAAAGCGGAAAACTAGTGGTGCTACACCAGTACATACTTTCTCGCCATATTACAATGTTGTCGTTATATACGACGGGACGCCCATAATGCTTCATTAATTTCAAATAAAAATATTTTTTTTAAAGAGGTCATTTTCTACAACATACTTTGTCTGAGACAAAAATCTCTTTCTTCAATTTTGTAGTTTTAAATTTTTGTTTTTGCAATTTTCGACAAAACGAGAAATCAACGAAAATGATATGTGCACTACTCTCTTAAACGTCCTTCGCATTGCGTAACTACACATCAAATAATTTGGGGTCATTTTTTTAAATTTTGAAAATGTCCGGGGGGCTTCATGTAAAGACCCCCTCTGAATTAAAATATCGGTTTCAAAATGCAAGGACCGCGACCTCAGCCAGAAAGATTGAGATACATCAATTTTGGAGAAGATCGGCTGAACGGTTCATGGGCTAGCGTTGTACATAGACAGACAAACGGACAGACGTTTCGCCGCCGATCGATTTTTCGGTATGAAGGTGCACAAAACAAGGATTCTGGTGACACAACGTGTTAGAGTAATTTTTTTTCTATTTAGCAACTGAATTTTTCTACTTTTTCAGAGCCTGTCGATAAGAGTTTTTGTGTCGAAAATTCGCCGTTTTCCGGGCAACGATTACAATTTTTTCTCTTCTTACGTTAGCAAGTGCGAGAAAGTGAAAGTATTAAGCCAAAGAACTGTAGAATAAAATGTCTTTTAATAAAATTGAAGTGGTTTGCATGTTATTTCAAAATAGCTATCGTTTTTCAGCTCATTTAGTTATTTGCATGAAATAAAAACTCATTCAACTGTTTTTATAACATTTACTTTCTCCCACCTACTATTATAAGAAGAGAAAGTATTGCAATCATGCGCCGCAAAATGGTGAATTTTCGACCCAAAAACCCTTATTGCCTGAGCCTAGTTAGGAACTAGTGGTGCTACAACAGCCCATATTTTCTCGCATTATTGGAACAGCTAATATTCAAGTACTGAATTTTCTGCGCTACAAATATTTCACTTATTGTTAGAAAACGTGCAATTCAACCAACAAGCGAGCATGCTATTGTTGCCAGAGCAGCGTTGTCAAAACTATGTGCATTCGCTTGGCTAATAATATGTCCAGAGAATATGCAATGGACATCAAAATGATTACGAAAATTCATTTTTGCCCACTCCTGAGTTGCAAGTTGTTGTGAGTTGCAAGTTGCTGTTCGTCGCAATATACCAGTTTCGTTTGCGTTTCTTCGTTTTTCGTTCATTCCATAAGCAGTAAATAGTTTTATGAATCAGATGATATTCTCATATATAACATACCTTACCGGGCATTCTGGGGAGTAATTTATAAAAAATGCTGCGAAATTCATCGCAAACGGAAATAAATGGCTCTCGGTCTAGGAGTTACCCCCTTTTTCGGCTTAGCCTAAGGTTTGTGTGATTGTAGTTGTGTTGTAGTTCGGATGCATTTCACGTTTTACTGCTATGTGTAAGTGGTTGGTGTGGGTTCGCGTCGGACCTTAGTCAATAACCAAATTGGCTTTTGTGTTGCACTACGCCCTCAGAATATCAGAGAGGAGTGCTTGTATTTTTGTCCTATAGTGAGGACGTATCAAACTAATTGTTTTATCTTGAAGCTTCGTTGATTTGAATCGCTTGATATGATTTGTTAAACGAAAGCCGTCTCAAGCATTGGGTGAAGGACTCGATATCAAGTTCCTTCCTCAGAACTTTCACCCGTTTCCGAAATGGAGGGCGTAATTTGAGCCATAGAACTTAGTTCTGTACTTGTTCAAGTGTTTCTTTGTACTTCTGTGCTGTGGTCCACCACGTTGCCGCAGCGCGTGCCAAGCGAAGATAAAGGGGGATTGTAGGTTCCCTCAGAAGAGGTTGTAAGAGACGAACTCTTTGCTGTAATTTTGATCTAATTTGCCTGACATGTAAATGCCAGCGCATCCTTCGATCAAATGTGTTGCCTTAGGTGCGCATGTCAGTTTTTGTTTGCCAAGTGTAATTTGTTTTGGAGGTGTAAAACATTTAGTGTTTTGGTGATTGCGATGGGTGTAACAGATTGTCTACGAATTTTTCACAGAAAAAGTCAAGTGGTTTTGATTCACTCACTTCAGCGTCAGGTTCATCTGTTTTTGAAATATTTTTAACTTGTGGTATAGGTTTATTCCTCTTGCTGAGATGGCTGTCATCAGCGAAAAGGAAAAACCGTATTCGTGGTATGCGTGGGATGTCATTGACATACATCGAGAACAGAAGCGGAGAGAGGACTGCCGGCCGCAATTCTCCGCTATGAGGGTCTCGCTTTTTCACATTAACCACGAATGTTTGTGAGGTTTGTGAACACATAAATAACTTTCACAAGAATAGCCACTCCTGAAGCCGTGTTGGTCATCATAGAGCAATTTTTTGATTTCCCATTCTTGCTTAATGTAACTGGCAACTAGATACTCCATAAGTTTGCAGACCACTGACGTAAGACTTACCGGTCTATAATTACTTAATATAGTTTTGGAACCACTCTTAAAAATTGGTACGACAAAAGCTAATTTCCAGTCTTCAGGTACTTTACAATTGTTCATGGAAACGTGAAATATTCTAATTAGGTACGGTAATATTGCCTCTTCTCCCAGTTTATTATGTCCGTAGAAATATCATCTGGACCACTTGACTTACCATTTTTCATAGATTTTACTTTCTTCCGTAGAACGTTCACTTCAACATTAAACTGATTTGTAACCGAAGACCCCTGAATTAATGAATGGTTTGTATTGCTTTTGAAAACCGAAC